CCCCCATCATTGGACTCTGTCGTCTGCCCCTCTGGCTCCCATCCTCCACTTCTACCAGCTGGACGACCCAACCGGGGTCACACAAGAGGGGGGGGTTGGACCCCTTTCTGCGGTTCCTGCCTGAGATGTTTTTGTCGCGAGAAGGGTACAGCAATCCCTTCCCTCGCGACTTTTGAAGTCGATCAAGTTTACTAACAACGAGCTGTGCAGCGCGTCGCTTCCAACGGAGACCAGGATTTAATTAGGGAGAAAAACTCAAGCTCTCTGTCCTCCCCCAAAAGCACTACTACTCGGTACGATACGATCAAAGTGAATGAATACAATCGCACTACTTACATTGGGTTGTCATGGCTCAAGTTTTCTCAGGTGTTGCTGACCCACCAGCGTTCGTGCAGGAGAAGGCAAGGAGCAGTCTCAGAGCACACACTCCCTCCCTTGATAGTCTGTCTTCGCCTGCGGAGACCCTAGCTTGCTGAAGACATCACACCCCCGGGACCGATTGTCAAAGCTCGAAAACTCTGCGGCATACACGACAGCGACGGCACCGAAAATGGCAGCGCTGGAACGGTATTGCGGAGGGCTCTCCGAGACCTTGGCGTTTGATTTGATTTGTGCCTTCTCCTTGAAATCGAGCTTTGACAATGGCTGCGAGGGGATGTGGTATGATCTATGTCGCAACCTACGGTGTTTCTGCTGCACCAACAATAACGACGGCGACAAGGATCGTGTGCCCGGCATGCATGCTATAGTACATTCGCGTGTGCGGTATACATAGGTAGCACCTGCGGTGCATTGGTCCACGCTGTTTCAGGCGATCGACAGTAACGAGCTCCGTACATGGGTACGTCGGAGAGCGATCGAACCGATGAACACAATGGTCCGCGTCAGTTGGAAACGTACGGGTGTTACAAGGCACCCACCAGAGACCGCAATGGTTTCGACGTCAACGACGGCAACGACTGAATCATCAGTGCATTGCTGCCCACTTGTTTGTTTGTATTCTCTTGATATGCCACAACGGTTACATCTCTATCCAAAGAAAGGGTCTACGATAGATTATCAATGAATTAATAGCGTCAGCGGAAATACTTTTTTTTTTCGGTTATTTGATGCGAGACGACGCCTCACGAATACGATACCGTACACGCTAACTTGCAACTCCATGACCCGGGCAGGTTGGATATGTTCCAGAGCGTGCAGAGCGGCGCGGTGCTAGGCCCAACCCAATTCCTGACGGCTCACATGCGGGCCGTGCTTGTGGACTGGTGTGTTGAGGTGCGTGCCCCCACAAACATCTCGTGGTAAAAGAAATTCGTTTGTCGCACGTGTGTTGTAGTGCAAGTGTATGATTGTCAAATTAAACCAGCCATGGCATGTTCAGCTTCGTTTTTCTTCTCTTCTCTTTCTGAATGCTCGGCAGCAGCTTGCCGTTTCCATCTGCCGGCGATGTTTTACGTGTCTTGGGAGAAGGGTATTAAGTTCGACCTTACAACATAATTCACCTGTTTCTTGATCATGTTTTCGCCGCTCATTTTTCGTGGTGGCGACAGGTCGCCTGCCAGTTTCGGCTGTCTACGATTGCTCTGCACGCGACGATTTCCAGCCTGGACGTCTGTCTCACCAAGGTCGCCGTACCTAGGTGCAGGCTGCAGCTGCTCGGCGTCGTGTGCGCCATGATTCAGACCCAGGTGCGTTTCGCTGGTGGTCCATGCAATGTGTTTTATATGGATAATAACTTACCTTGGATGGAGTGTTGAATGGTCAATTGGGGATAGGGCTAGGGTCTGGGTGCCTCCTCCCTGGTCTTGATTCGTAAAAGCGTTGCTTCTTTGCGTAGGCAGTGCCCATCCTCACCTCTCTCGCTGTTGCTGCGCAACAAACTCCCGAGGTTCCCGCGATGCGCCGAAGAAGGGGACGATTATCCCATCTCTGTCGCTCCTTGCCCGCTAGAGGTCTTGCCGAGCGTACAAGTAGTCGACATATATACGCAGGCTTTCTTAGCAAGCTAACATGCTGGGTAAAGTACACAATCGGCTAAGTTGGGGTTAGGTTTACGTGCCCTCGCCCGGGTCTTATGTCGTAATAAACATATCACCTTTCTTTGCGTGGGCAGCACGGGTGGCCTTCCATGTGTGTGTGGTCCATGCACACGGCAGTTGGCAGCAGCATGTATCCGTGTCCCACACAAGCCTTGCGATACGGAGTAAAGTACTGGATCACCATTCCGTGAATGATTCTGGGCTTTGTGCTTTGTCTCAAGTGGTACGGGTGGGTGCTCTCCGTATCCTGGTTTGAATTAAACAATCGTGGGATGCACAGTAGGCTGAATATAGTGAACAATGAAGACAACGGAATTTGGAACTACTTGCAGAAACGGCAAAGCGTCATGCTTGTAGTGGCCGGCGGGAATTGCGCGGCTGACTTGCCCCTTGTTGTCGGCGAAGCGACGTATGTGCAGTGTCGCACCGAACCGTCGCCAAGAGTTCGTGCGTCAGTGCCGGCATAGGCCGCAATAGATCGATGATTTCGCCGCCCCGGCTTTGCGGGGACAAAAGTTTTTGTTCATACGCTGACGGGGCTCGGGCGCATGGTAGCCCCCCCCGCCCCCCCTCCCACTCGTTGACTGTCGCTGTGTCCATTTAAGTTGGTACCGCGGGGTCGTTCATGTTGTTCAGGAGGAGACGGTCTTCTCATCATTTTTCACACCCGTTTCCTCCTTCGCCTGTTGAGCCCAAGCATTCATACCCCTCCCCCACCATGGTGGTCGAGTAGATTATCTTGTGAGGGGTCGAGAACCCTCATTCCACGCAAAGGGGATGATCGCACCACGTTGTGTTAAAATGGTTAAGCACCCTCGAGGCAGTTGCATTGTGCTCATATCTGTCTGTGGAAGTGAAAGCACCAGAAAATATAGTATGTCATTCGCAGCTGTCATCCGTACGCAAGGAAGTAGGCACAAGATGCCGAACACTTTTAGCAGGATGCAGCGCACCCTCCGTGAGACTCGCCGAATGTGTCACGGCGCTTCGCGCTTGGTGATGTGAGAGCCTGGTCCGGGGAGAATCCGGCGTGCTCCGTGCCGGCGTTGTAGGGATGCGAGGTCAATGGTCTAACGACTACGGCATGCACGACTTCGAGCACACACACACACACACCGCCCTGTGAATACCTCACCACGCTTCGCGCTTGGTGATGTGCTATTATGGCCTGGTCCGGTGAAAACCCGGCGTGCTCCGTCCCGGGGGGTTATATTGATGCGAGGTCCATGGTCTTAACAAGTACGGCATGCACGACTATGAGTACCCCCCCCCCCCGCCCCCCCTGATTCTGTGTTTGCATTTTTGTAGGCTGGCGGTGGGGGCCAGGTGATGAACACACCCGAAGCCATTCATATCTGCGACAGTCAGTACACCCCCTCGCAGGTTCACAGCACTTTCAACGTCGTCGTAAGCATAACCCAGGAGGCGATGGGGAGGGCCGTTCCGGCGACCGTTGCTGAGATCCTCCACAGGTGTGTGATTGTGTTTCCTGCCTCGACCCTGACATGATCTGTCCGGATCTCACGCACCATCTCAACTGTGCGTGTGTCTTGATTATTAGCATCGATCGCGCTAACCGGCTAATCAATGAAAAGACGTCAGGCTCGTGCAAGTGTGTGTGTGTGTGTTTTTATTATTAGCATCGACGGCGCTAACCGGCTGACCAATGAAAAGACGTCAGTCTTAGTGCGGTTGAAAACTCAAAACACTTATATCTACCATGAGTGTGTGTGTTTGTGTGTGTGTGTGTGTGTGTGTTTGTAGGTCTTTGGACAGCATCAACCCCGCTAACCTGCACAACAGGATAAGTACGTCAGTCTCAGCGCGGGATGTCAGCGTGTGTGTTTTGTCATATGTTTGGTGACGACCAAGGCGTGTTCATCGTTCAGCTTACGACACCCACCCACCCCCGCGCCGTGCTTTGTTGTCTTGCCCAAGCGTGAAGGGCGCCGTTCTCGCCACCACCCAATCGTTGCGTACCATTCAGTCCAACTTTCCTGGCTTACCCCAGAGGCTGGCTTGTTTCTATCCCCACCGGTTCGTGGTATGCTTGTCTGACCAACTGTCACCCAGCAAGGCCTAGTGTAACTGCTTCTGCTGTAGTTCGTATTTTTCTCCGGCATGTTGTGGGAACAAATCAAGGATGGCAACCAAAAGTTTTCACCTATCGTCCATACCTCGCTGCCCGTTAACGCTATCTTTGCTTGACGCATCTGGGGACCTGGTTTGTCTTTTCAGGCACCTGACATCGATGGGAGAGCCATCGGGTCTCGACATACCGCTGACGATGGACTGGGAGGAGCACTCACACCCGAGGATCCGCGAGGTGCGTACGCAGCAGCACATGGCGCCAGGAGTGCAGCGCGCACAGCCCGTTGTTCAACTTTCAAGTAGCTCAGCTTTTCTTGTGGGGGGTCAAGCGGATTGTGCATTTCGACGATGTGCGGTGAGAACTCGAAGAGCATATTACGCACGCTTGTTCTATTCTCGGCGCATATAGGTTTGTTTTCTTTGTACAGACATGGTCTACATCCAGTTTTGGAGAGACTACTCGTTCGAGGCACAATTACAGGCGAAGGGGATGGTTGAAGTCTTTGAACGGAGTGGGGGAACAACCGGCTGGAAACGGCCTTATTTTGAGTCTATTTTATATTTTCGCCTACAGTACACACAATTGTTTTCTGTTGTCCGTTTTCCCGTCGCTATTTCCCGGTTGCTATGTATCCTTTATTCCATTGTGGCACCCAGCTGCGTTGCGTCCTCCCATGCTGACGTGCTCGAGGGGAGGCAAGAAGACAGATAGCGAATCGACACCTGAACACTCACGCCCACTGCTGTCCGTTCATTGCCGACAGGAGCATATCCTGGCCGGTCTCGTGGTCGACCTATCTCTGCTGGACAACTTCCTGTTCCTCTTCAGGCCAGGAACGGTGGCGGCGTCCGCGTTGTTCCTGGCTCGTGTCACCGGCATGTACTATGCCAAGGTAGGGAGTAGGACAAGGCGTATTGCATGCTGTCGACGTGCAACCGCCGTATTCTACACCCAAGTGGGCATTGCATGCATGGGTTAACTAAAACATGTTCTGTGGACTACTGGGGTGGTGTGATCGATCAATACCAACTGGTAGTTATGCGCACGTTGAAATCCCTGTCTCTGTGACCCTCGAGGAAAAAAATAATACAGCGAAAGCAGGCTTAGGTAGACGCGGGTGACGGTAATCCTGCGGGAGGGACATGAGAAGTCAGCAAGAGGGAGCCGACCTATTTCTTGGTCATTTTCTCGTGTATGTTATTGTTGTTGTTGTTGTTCTTGTCTTGACGTTAATACCTGTTCCGTTCGTTCTACCCAGTACCTTCCGCTGTCCGTACTAGACCAACACTTGACGCGGTCGATTCCCGTCCCGTGGTCACAGGCTAGCTTGCCCAAAAAAGGTATTCGACATAAAATGGACCCGAAGGGTCCGCAAGTCAGATGTGCTTGGCTGCGGAACAAATGATGAGGATGACGTTCGAATGATCGCCGGATATGCACACAAGCGGGCGGGGTTGGCCTATGTAGTTGCTTTGGCGCGCGTTTGCGTATCCGCGTCCCCGAAGTTGCGCTTGAGTAGCCAGCACCAAAAAGGAACCAGTGGACTGCAGGACGGCAGGCGAGCCCGAAACGTGTGGTGTGTCGGCTGTCTTGTGTTGAACCTGTGCGGTTCCACATGTCCTCGCGGTGCACAGCAGCTTTGTTGAGGCTGTGGTCAGTTTGCGTGGAAAATGATATAAAAAAGATATGGCCGGACGAAGGAGAGCTCAGCTCCGGACAGGTCCTGGAAAAAAACTGCGTCGGTGTTTCGAATTGTCATGCATGTTTGCTTGGACAGTGTAGCAATCGGCATAATATTTTCAGGAGAAATGTGGGTGGTGCTTGCTTAGTGCGGACAACACATTTCGAGTGTGTGCATTTGTGTCCACATCCCAATGTCATCAAGAGGAATTGGGTGGTTCTTGACAAAGTTATGAGGAAATGTGTGCTTTTGTGTTCGTGTTTTAGTGTAATAAGGAGGATTTGGGGGTGGGTCCTTACAATACGCTCGTGTATGTGTGTGCTTTTGTTTTCGTCTTCTCATGGAACCACGAGGCAGTATGGGTGGTGGTTGCTTATTGTTGGCAAACGCTTCGTGCACGTGATTTTTTTTTTCCGACTTCCGATGTGATCAGGAGGGAATGTGGGTGACCCCCTGTTCGGTGGTGGCCAAAAAGAACCGCGAGGTGCTGCGCCTCTACGGGAAGGACGTCTGCAGGTGAGCCTCGAAAAGCACCCCACCGTCTCTTGTTTTTGGTGGTGTTGGTATTGGTGTTGTTATCTTTGTCGTCGTCGTCATCGTGATTGCTGTTGTTGGTGTCGTTGATCTTGGTGTTCGCTTCGGAGTTGTCGTTAATCGTCGACGTCAACAGGCCGAAATCACCCGTACAAGCATCTATTATAACAACCCACACCCCATCTTCCCCTCTAGCCCATTTGCCATCAGACGTACGGCGACTAGCGCCAAGTCCTTTCCTGCCCACACGACCTCCCCATCCCGTTACCCAACCCTGACCCCAACCCCCTTTCCCAGGCCGTTCGTGAAGCCCAACAAGGACTTGGAGCTACTCCCGTTCGGTGCGCCTGGCCTGGGAGAGTTCGTGGCTAGTCAGCCGGCGGAGGCTACGGTGAGCGTTGACCGATCACCACCCCGACCACTTCTGCGCCGCTTGAGGATTGCCCAATCACCGTCAGCTTCGACCAATAACCATCCCCATCAGTGCTGCGCCGCTTGAGGATTGCCCAATCACCGTCAGCTTCGACCAATAACCATCCCCATCAGTGCTGCGCCGCTTGAGGATTGCCCAATCACCGTCAGCTTCGACCAATAACCATCCCCATCAGTGCTGCGCCGCTTGAGGATTAACCAATCACGGTCAGCGTCAATCAATCGAAATCCCCATCACTTGACCACATCAGCGTCGACCAATCAGCATCGACCAAAACCATCACTGGTGTGCCGCTTCAGCGTCGATCAATCATCGCCAATGTGCTTGCCGTCGCGCCTTGTCGAGTGTCCCGCGAGAGACTTTCGCATGCCCGCAACAAGTCGCCCATGCGAGCAGTATCACCAAGAGCAACAACAAGATAAATCTCGATTATTTTTTTCGACAGGCGGTGCGGAGGTGTGTGGAGCGGCTCTGGCTGGTGCAGAGAGACTTTTTCGATCACTTGTCCGGTCGGCAATCACCCCAGCACGTTCTGTTCCGCTACCAGCACATGTTCAAGGGCATCAAGGTGAGATTTTTTTTTTCTTGCTTCCCACCCGAGTGCGATCGCCAGTTGCTGTTGCTGTTTTCATGTTTCCCTGTGATGTTGAGGTACTGAGATGCACGGGTGACGTGTGAATTATGTCCCCCATGTGTATGAAGCGTCGTGGTTTGGACGTTGGACAGCGGAGTGACGAAGATCATCGCCTGCACCCCGACCACGTGTCAATTTCGAAACGGCGGGGGCCTGTAAACTTTTGCCGCAACCTGTTGCCGCCTACAGCAACGACGATGACGACGACGACAGCAGCAGCAACACCATCAAAGCTTGCCCGATTGTCGCCCAACAACTAACCCAGAAACATAACGTCGTGGGATTTTCTCCTTGCCGCGCTCCCACTGTGTACATTTGCTCACCGTGTATGACACCGTTTGCCGTACCGTGTACCGTATTGTGTACCTTACCGTGAACCGTACTGTACCATACCCTACACCGTACCGTGTACCGTACCATGCCGCAGGAGAAATTCATGCCCCTCGGATCGATCCGGCTGCAGGCCTACCAGAAGCTAGGACTTGTGGAAAGGGGGGAGCTCAACCGCATGCTGGACGAGCACCTCCCGACCACCGTCACCTTGGCGACAGTGGCGCCGGCTTGGACGTCCCGACCCTCTGCTGCTGCTAGGCGGATGCCCCCCCCATAGTTTCTTCATGAAGTTCTATGAATTGAGACATCCGTGAGCGATAGTACCGTTGCCATCGCCGCCCATGGAGTTCCTCAATGGCGTTGTGTGAATGGAGACAAGGTCTTGACGATCGTGTGGGGGCGACGGTTCATGTCCTGCCCTGCGGATTGTGCACCTTTTGCGAGTTCCTCGGGTGTGGGCGCAGACCTCTGGCCCTTCGCAACAGCTGCTGCTGCTGCTGCTGCTACTACTGTTGCTCTTGGTCCCAAAGCTGATGGCGCTGTGCTGTTGCTGCTCCGGGATGCTAGGGCTGGCTGGGGAGAGCATGGTTGGCATCGTCGTCGTTGTTTTTGTTATTGTTGTTGTCTGAAAATGTCACTACAGCAATAGCTGTTGAGACATGGGGTTGTTGCCGTTTGACCCATGCATGCGTTGGTTGACCATGGACCGTGGGTGGTTATGGTGCATGCTGTACAAAAGTCGGGAAGGCTTTTTTCCTCAGAGAGGCTGCATCGGTCGGTCGGTTTGAATGTTGCAGGATAGGGAGAGGGAGAGGAGAGCTCTTGTGCTCCTCCGCAGTCTTCTCTCTCCCTGTCCCGTCGTTCTGACTGTCTGTCTTTTCTCACTTTCTGTCTGCCTGTCCCTCTGTCTACGTCTGCCTGTCTTGTAGTATCTTTCTGTCTGACTGTCTGTCTGTCTCGTCTCTCTTAATGTCCCTCTGTCATTGTGTATGCCTGTCTCTTCTCTCTCTCTCTCTTGCGTCCTAGAAAGGCGGGGTTGGATGGTATCTAGTACTCTGGAACTCGTGCTGTTGTATCTTGGAAGACATCGCAGTTCAGCAGGAACACTTTGTGAAAGGGCTGTTTTTCAAGACGCTTTGATGTAGTTCAGCGTTTCATCATGGTTGGTTGAAGCGACAAATTCGAAGCTTCAAGAATATTACTATATTGGAGTATGTTTGGTTTACTCTTCGTTTTATGTAGATCTAGACTTCTCCCTTCTTCCCCTCGCTCCTCGACAAGCTTTTGCTTAGACATGGGCTGTAGTGAAGAGGGGGGTCTTTCTGGCGAGCAGGGCTAGATTCACCCTCAAGGGATGACCGAAACCTTCTTGCTGCTGCGCATATCCGCCGCGAGGCATGCGCGTGGTGGTGTAGTTGGGTCGGCACTGATGGGGTCAGGCGAAAAAATGTAGATGCG